CTCTGGCAGAAATCAAATTCCTAGAGTGTTGACTCCTAAGCTGTAATTCTGCATCCACTCCCCTAGATATGGCAGTGGCAATATGTCCTGAGCCCAGGGGAGAGGTCAAATTCTGAAGTATCCTCTGGTCTGCTGCCAGCAGCCGTGGGAGTAAAGGTGGCTGAGGCCCCTGAACAGGAGGGGGCTGGGCCTGGGCTGGGCTGGGCTCAGAAGGATCAGACGAGCCCTGAAGGCCTGAGTCAGGTCCTGAAGTTGTGAGATCCTGAGAGAGAGGGAGGTCTGGGGACCAACCTTGAACTCCAGTTAGGCCAGAGGTAGAAGGCCCTTCAGGCAGCAGGATGGGAGGTGGCCTGGGGGCTGAGGGATCCCTAGACCCATTCTTGGTCTTACTGGTGCGCTTAGTGGCCCTGGCAGGAGCCGCTCATGTGGTGCGGGATCTGTGGCTGGCAGCCCTGGTGGTGGTCCTACTCACTCTAGATGAGGCCCCAGTGGCATCAGAGGACAACTGAGGAGAGGTGGAAGCCCCAGCGCTGCCACCATGTAAGCTAGATTGAAAAGGCTCAAGCTCACATTCACTGAAATACCAAATGCCGATCGCAATTGAAGCAGGAGGCGGTGAGAGATCAAACTCATACTCCAGTAGAATGGTGGCGAACCGACCTCCGTGGAGCAATGAATCTGGTGATTTTACGTCACTACAGGCAGGAAAATGAAGCCACACCCAGCCAGACTGTTTGTTGGTGTGAAAAGGGCTCCAAAATGGCCACCGCAACCAACAGCGGGGGTGGGAGATTCAAATTGGCAAGGTACAAAGGCTGCCGCCAGAATGGAGAACGCCTGCCTCGTATCTTGCCAGTGACCGCAGCCGCGTCTTCCACAGGCTCTCGAGGTCGAAGTAATACATGGAGCCCAGCCATATGGCGATGGGGGCGTCCGGGCTCCGCGCGTCACCAGGCAACCACGGGGGGAAGGAGGGGGCGACGGACAGTGGCTAGAGCGGCCGGCGCGGGGCGGCAAACTGATCCTCAGCCGCAGCAAGACAAAACAAAGGCAGCAAACCGACATTCCCACAACAAACAACGGCACACCCTTGCCTCCAATAAAGAGGTTCCTTGGCCCTGAAGGCTCCGGGAATGCTAAAATCCAATTGCCACGAAGAGAAAACAAACCTATTTGTAGAGATATTTACCGCTCCGTGAAAGGAGCTCAAGCTGGTGAAGGAAATCCAAGCTAAATAATAATAATGATGAATCTGTCTAGTAACCCAGAGAGAATAATTTTGCATCTCTTTAGGCTGGACTGAGTTAAGAAACTGAACCAGTCCAGTCAGAGGAAGTGTGGCCAGCAATTTGCATAACTCAGTCTCAAGGCTAATGGACAAAGTTAACCCATGCTTGGATTCCCCAAGCAGCGGACAGGAGAACAACTCAGCTTGGACACCACTGGTATTTAAAAGTAAATGTTGGCTAGAACAAAAATGTAAATTGTTAATATGGAGATGGACAAGATCCATCAATTCCATCAAAGGGTCATTTTTGCAAAGGCTGCCCCTTTGTGTAAATAGGAATATTGCCAAAATTGTACCTGCATATAAGTTGGAATATTGCTGGAATTGCCTTGTTTGGCATTTTTCAATGCTGTAAATCAAAACTGCTCATAAATAAGTTCATATTATGGAAATGTAAGAAAAAATAGTATTCTCTTAGAGCAGGGGTCTTCAAATTTGGCAACATTATGACTGTGGACTTCAAGTGCCAGAATTCCTCATCCAGCATGGCTGCCTGAGGAATTCTGGGGATTGAAGTCCACAAGTCTTAAAAGTTACCAAGTTTGGAGCCCATGTGTTAGAGCAGGGCTTCTCAACTTTGGCAACTTTAAGATGTGTGGACTTCAACTCCCAGAATTCCCCAGCCAGAATTGAAGTTCAGAATTGAAGTCCATATATCTTAAAGTTTCCAAGGTTGAGAAATACTGTATTAGAGAAAAGTATAGGCCACATGGCGGACAAGAGCTTGATGGGACAGATGTTGCCACTCTTCTTACATTTTATGCTCAGCATGGTACTTTTCTCCAGTTGCTTGGTGCGATTGTGGTAGCTTGACGCTCGGCACTTGTAAAGTCCTGCATGAGCCTGGGAGACATTATGGATGTCCAGCACTAAGGAGATGGAATAGTTGTCCACCTTCTTCTGGGTGAGAGCTGTGGGGACTTCCTGCAAGGTGGGGTCGTACCAGGTGAGGTGATCGTAAAGGTACTTGGAGCACTTGCAGGTCATCTGGATGTGGCTGGTCACAATAGCTGTCATTTGGGAGTCTGCCTCCAGGCTGGATTGCATGTCTGCAAGAAAGACCAGAGAGAAGCAGACCAATCATTTGGAGCTGAGTATATGGAGGACTTCCTGATTTCCACCCCTGAGAAGAAGGCTGCAAAATACACGTAGACCACCATTGAGCCCAAAATTTATGTTATTCAGTGGAACATTTGCTAAGTGAGCTTTGCCCCATTTTACAACCTTTCTTGACACAGCTATTAAGCAAATCACTGCAGTTGTTAAGTTAATAACCTGATTGTTAAGTGAATCTGGCCTCCCCATTGACTTTGCTTGTCAGAAGGTCACAAAAGGGGCTCACATGACCTTGGGAGCCAGCAACCATCATAAATATGAACCAGTTACCAAGAGGCTGAATTTTGATTCAGACTGCAAAGGTTGTAACTGTGAAAAATGGTTGTAAGTCAAATTTTGTAATGTGTAAGTCGAGGAGTACCTGTACAGTGCAGGGTTGGAGAAAGTTGTGAGCACTTCCACAAAATTGTGACAATTAAGGATTTAGGGTTAGGCTTAGTGATTTAGCATTGTGTGACTTCCAGTGGGGCATGAAAGGCTGGCTTTAAGAGCCCCCAAACCAGAATGGGAGACCCTGAGCAAAGAGCGTCCCCACCCTCTACAGAAGCGAAGGACTGAGAGCAGCATTAGAGGATTGGAAAGACATAGCTAACTTGCTTCTGCTCATACACATCAGAAATGCAGAAGCAGTTGTAAAATAGGGAGTGCTCATTGTGTGTGGGATGGAGAGAAGGAGGAGAGGAAGAGGAAAGGAGGAGAAGGAGAGGAGGGGAGAGAATAAGAAGAAGAGGAGATGGAGCGAAAGAGGAGGAGGAAGAGAGGAAAAAGAGAGGAGAGCCTTTTTATATAATGTATGTATGTATGTATATATGTATGTATTTTATCTATCTATCTATCTATCCATCTTGAGTAGCACAGTAGCCTAGAGATGGAGCTCTTGCCTCACAATCAAGAGGCTGCGAGTTCGATCCTAGGTAGTGGCAGGTATTTCTCTCTCTAGACGCAATGAATAATTGTCTGCTGCGAACTCCAAATAGGCATCAGGAAGGGTGTCCAGCCAGTAAAAAGCCAAGCTCTGTTTGGTCTCCTTGATGATGATGATGATTGGAATCCCAATGCAAGGGATTACAGGGTCATTAAAAGAAAAATATATATCGGTTTGTCTGTAAAGGGGTTTTGATTGCATGATTATAGCCACCATCTTGCCTTTTTTGACCTCATCCCCATGAAAATCATTGCAGGTTGCATCTTTTGAGCTTCCATCAGATATTTCCCGGCCTTTAGGGATGATGCCCATTCTTTACCTGTGATATAGAACCTGATGCTCCTCACTTCGGACTTCAGCTTGTTGGTAGCCACACAGTAATAGATTCCGGAGATGTTGCTTGATGTCATGGTCAAAGTGCTTAAAACCTTCCAAAGGAAGAAGAGAAAGAAAGAAGTTACTTTCTGATGAAACATTTCCCTGTATCCACAAAAAGCTGCAGGGACGTTGCTTGGTGACGTAGTACAAAACAGAGTTGGCCCTTCCCTTTGCTTGCAGTCAAGATCGATTGTAAAAAATACTTCAAACACTGCAGATTATTCATGAATGAAAAGTACACAATGGACTTGAAACAGGTAATGGCACAAAGAGGGCATCAAATGGGTTATATGAGCTGTGGTGACCCAGTGGCTAGAATGCAGTACTCCAGGCTAACTCTGCCCACTGTCAAGAGCTCAATCCTGATCGGCTCAAGGTTGATTGAGCCTTCCGTCCTTCCAAGGTTGGTAAAATGAGGATCCAGATTGTTTTTTACCATAATTTTTTTAATTTTCCATTTTCATAGCATATAATCACATGTATACTATTACATAGTCAATATCTTGTTGTATTATTAAGTAATTACATCAATTCATCTTGCCATCAACTACCAAAAAAAAACAACCCCCAGTTATTGGCTCTTCTGCTCTCCACACACCATGTTTATACCTTATCCGACACTTTCTTCCCCCTCTCTCCTCCCCCTCTCTACTTCCTTTCTTCCCTCCACCATCCTTTTCTCCTCTACTTCCCCTTCCTTTCTTCTTCTCCTCTCTTCCCTTACCACTCCTCCTTATACACCTCATATACCCCCCCCCCCTCACCCCCTCTCCTGTCCCTCTCCTCCTATCTTTCTTCTCTCCTCTGCTTTCCCCTCTTCCTCTAATCCCCTTTGT